AACCTGAGTGGATTCATTGTTTTTCTCCTGAAATGAACGACCTTCTTCTTGGAGCTGTGTTGATGCCACCAGGCCAATCCATGACTGATAGTGTTCCTTTTTGTCTGCTTGTTTATTTGTTTCTTCTTTCTTTGTCCTGTACAGGTGTGTGTTACTGCACTGCCAACGTGTTTGGGATCATTGTCATGCTGAAGCCTTCCCAATTAAACACCTGCCAGATGGCATTGCATGGTGGATCAAAATTTCCACCATATAATCCCATCTGGTACTTTCTGCGTTGATAATTCCATAAATTTTGACAAGATCCCAACACCACTGGCTGAAATCCTGATTTTCAGTCCAGTTCTTCTGTAATTTAGCAAAGCTTTGCTCTTTCTTCTTGTTTCCTTTCCTTAAGAATGGCTTCATGACAGCTGCATTTCCACTGAAACCTCGCTAATGAGTGAAAATTTGTTAAAAACCAGCCAGAGGACAGAGGAAAACTTTGAAAGATATTTAGAAATCTATTGCTCAAGACAAGCGTAGGAATGAAAGAAGCTAAATATAAGGAAACGAGGCGTGGCTCAAGACTATTTCACAGCAGTGGAAAAGCAGGAAACGGGGCTAAAAATGCAAAAAACAAAATCAACAAAAACAAGATTTGAGATGGGAATAAAAAAAAAAGGCAAATCTGTTGTGTGCTGGAAGTGTGAGAACAAATAAAACTGTTCAGTCCGCCTCGCTCTGTTTTTCCTTTCTCCTTTTTCATATAATTACCTCGGTGTGATGGGCCCACTGTGAGAACGCTGGGCTGGAGTCTCACATTAGATGGAACGCAGTCAGAAAACAGTGTTTGTTTTCATTGAGTGGTTGGTGGTCTGCGTGGAGACGAAACTGAAAACACCGTCGGTCTTTCGGATGGACTCACGGCGTCTCAGAAACAACATGTTTGTGCACATTTACATTTCATAGACGATCTATGGTGGTGAAAATGTTTGTGCAGAAATAATTGTAATAACGTCAGCCTGACAGGATATCAGTGTAAAAGTAAAACTCTTATTCCAGGCAAACACCAGTCGTATGTGCGTCTACATATTTAGCATAAAATGTCTCTGCTCGTCTGTCCTGTTGTGTATTTGCAGCTGTCTCTCACCAAAGGTCCAAATGTGACTCTGACATGCATCTATGAATAGGTAGGGGATTTAGCTTTTAGCTGTTACCAGAAAGGCAGCCACCATTTCTCACCCGCATGACAGAAATGCAAGCGAGAGTGGCACATTGAGCTTCCGTGTGTTTTGGAAGTCAGGAATTCCCGTCTGTGGTGAGCAACCTTTCGGCGATATCGAGACAGCGAGAGGAACAGTTAAGATGTGTGATGAAAGGGATTTAGGAGATTTAAGGTGGGCGTGATGAAGCCAGTTGTGTTTTTGCGCAGTCACTGTCCTCCTGATCGAGTATGATTTGTTAATTGTGTTATTTCCTCGTGTGTGTTAATCTAACGTGGCAGTCTTAATTGATCTTGTTAACGTGGGATGTAGGAGGTGAAAGAACGTCCTCTGATGCCCTGCGGTTATTTTGACACTCAGGCGGTTAGAAACACGATGGTTGGGGAGCGAAGGAAGGGTGCCAGCCTCAATCTGACACAACGCGGGGCTGAAGTGCAAAGATTCACGGCAACAGCCGCGAAGGCCGGCCGGGCGGGTGACTCGAAAGTCCACTGTGACCGCGAAATCCAAATGTCACGACACACAGCTCGTTCAAACGAAGAGGCCCCGACTTCACCTGGTTTTAAAATATCCTGTAATAGCTCAAAGCTCTCGAGTGATGATTTTAAAGTGTGGGTGATAGATGCACAGAGGAGCTCTTCACACGACGCTCGAACATTTTGCTTGTGCAAAATTAATATGGCACAACAAATGACCGTTGGATATTGATATTGGTATTTGTTCTGGGTCAATATTCTGATACCAATCAAAAAGAGCAACATATGATGTAGGGCTGATGTACGGGTGCGGCCTGAGGCTCTGTCCAGATGTTCATGGGGATCTTAGTAAATGCAGCCTTTTCTCTGTTGCGTTAACGCTCTGTTAGGACCTCCGGGGTGATTTTCACCTCCTTTTTCAAACGACCTTGAGGGCGTCTGTCTGTTTAACACCCAGTATGACCCAGTATGAACCTTCCAGATCCCTCAGGTCATCTGGATCCGGTCTTTTATCAGTTCCCAGAGTCAGAACCAGACACGGAGAAGCTGCATTCAGCTTTTATGCTCCTTATACCTGGAAGAAACTCCCAGAAAGCCTCAGATCAGCTGAAACACTCAGTTTATTTAAATCCAGGTTGAAGACTCACCTGTTCTCAGCTGCATTTGAATAAAGCACCAAATCCGCACTTAAGCATTTCAAAACTTACATTTAACTACTGATTTTATCTGTTTTGATTTTATCTGTTTCGATTTTATATACTGTTTTGTTTGTTTGTTTGCTTGCTTGTTTTAATCAATTTTAAATCATGCTTTTTATTTGTTTTTGTTTCTAATGTCTCTGTGAAGCACTTTGAATCACCTTGTTGTTGAATTGTGCTGTACAAATAAACTTGCCTTGCCTAACATATTGTTGCTGCACGTTTGTGGCTTGAAATGTTGACGGTCAAACAGTCAAACAACCTTTCCAGCTGGTTGTTTTCAAAAATACTTTTTCTGCAGCAGGTTTATTAACGAGTCAGGATCATTTAGCATTTAACGCTGTTCTGCATTTAAAAATGTTAACCTTATTAATAAATGATCATTAACCATTACATAAGTAAAGAGAATCATCAGTATAGCCGATGTAAATCCATTGGAAACGGGGTCGAGTAAATAATTTTGCGATCTTCCAAACTTACACGAACATCAAGAAAAAGCTAATCTGTGATTTTAGCACAGCAATAAAGTGCATAGACACACATCATAAAAGTATTAAACTGCCCAAAGAATCTGTGTATCAACCTATTAATCAGTTATATGGTTAGATAGCTATATAATTGCTCTATTGATCAGATGATTGATTGATATACACACAGAGACTGCTTTTCAGTGTTATTCTCATCTACATTACACCGGCACATTTTAATTGGCCCAGAGAGGCTCAATGCAACAGAGACGAGAGACTGTGACCAATACACGAGTGACACACCAACAGATCTGCAAACCGGCTTTAGAGGAAAAACATGCAAATGGCCCACTGTGAAGTGTGCTTTCTTTCCCTCCTGTGTGGAACTTTTCTTTTTACATGTTTGTGCGCTTGCATGTGTGTGTGTGTGTGTGTCTGCTTGAGTGCTATTCCTGTGAATAAGTCCCTAAGAAGACAAAACCATGGTTGAGTTGTAATTCCTCGTATTTCTTTTATCCTCGGTTCCCAATCATTAGTCATTTGCTTCCTATCAACGAGCAGTCGGCATGAGTGCACGTGTGTGTGCACGTGTGCGTGCACGTGTGCGTGCACGCTCGTCCTTGGCTACGTTTCTGTGATGCTGAAAACATACAAATATCTCACCTCATGTGTTGCCTCGTGGATGGCACATGGTTTGTGTTAAACAGGCGGGTATCTCGTGCAAATCACAAGTAATTCTGTGTTAATTTTGAAACGGGGAGTGTAGACGGGAATCATAAGCTAATTTCAAGTGTGAATATAATTGTGCATCATAATTTTTAAAGCTGTAAATTATTCATTCAGGTGATTTTTTTCTATTATTGCATTGTCTGTGACGATGAGGCAAGCAACTTGTTGTAGCTTTCTTCTAAGCCACATGCCAGGACGTGCAATTAAAGAAAAACATGACATATACACATACTGCACCCCGTCACCCTGAGGTGACTTATATTTTCTTGGAAAAGAGAAAATAAAGTGGAATTGTTTAAACCAGTAACTGGTGTAACCTGCAATTCCCGGGAAAGGTTCCTTGGGAGAATGCCAAGCAGCTTTATCTCTGCCGAAGCTCGGTCACAGCGCAACTCGAGAGGGACCCAGACAAAGAGTATCACATCCAGAGACGTGACCTAGCTGAAACTCAACACCTGCAACCGTCACTCCTCAGTTTGATGCTGCAGAACGAACATTGCTCCACATTTGAATACAATTTAATCGTACTGTTGAAGGGAAATGATTGACTTTTGTTGACGATCAGCGTTGCATCGTCTAACCGCGAGTCCTGTTTTGTTTGTGTGATTCGCAGAGGTGTACGGGATCAAGCTCCTAACACCATGGATATGGACACGCAGCCACAAGGACAGCAAGCAGCTGTGCCAGTGTTTCAACCCCAGGTAACCCCACACACAGACGCACACTGCAACACCAGCCAGAAGGACTTAGGATCTGAAGTAGGCTGCAGACTAAGATAAAAATGGAGTTACTCAGCCTCGGCATGCTGCGGTCAGCACCTGTCTTAGCCTTTATTTAACGGGTGTGTTCAATGCCGTTTAGTTTGATTATAGATTGAAAAATGATGGGAAATCCCTTCATCTGTTGTATTCCTCCTAATTCCTGTTTCAAACTGTAAATATTTCATGCTCATCTCTTCTCTCTGCATCAATCGAGATGTATCGTTCAGCCTGATCTTCATTCAGACCTCTGTAGCCTGTGTAAGACAGACAGTGGATAAATGTCGAGTTGTTACTATTGATCAGAGATCTGGAGGCTGCTGGAGCCCGGCCTCCTCGGTTCGATACAACTCAAGTTTGCTCCGTGCAGATCGGGCCGTTGTTGGATTTTAATATCGTCTTCCAACTTCAGGCGCATTGATTTCTTTACAGAAGGATGTTTTTGCCTCCATAAGTATCGAATAGACTTTAAACAAAGAAGATCATCCATATGCCCCTGAGTAAACATGGAGTCTTTTTGAGAAAGAAGCACTAAAAATAGGCTCCGTACTCGTTGTTGTTTTTGTTTCTTTTTTTTTTAGCTGTTTATTTTTTCAATGCGTATGCGAGGGCACGGCAACATTAACACTGGAACTGCCAAGGGGCTCGATTATTCTGAGATTTGTAATTGCAAAATTAAGGATAATTGGGTTGCACACAGAAGAAAGCTCTAATAATTAATTTGACTTAGGCAACCGTCCCCCCACGCACACGCACACATACAGTAGATCTCCAGCTGATCTCCCAGCAGTTCGTTAGGTGTTGTTGTTCAGTCTTAATGATCTCTTTCTCTGTGTTGTTCCATCTATTTCCAGCAGTTTACATCAGTGTTAATTCTAGGCTCACCTCTTTCGCTTAGGTACTCGGGTGCACGGTGAACTTTCCATATTGCATCATTTTTTCAGTCTCACAGAACATGTTTGAACCGATTCCACATTCAGCGGGAGATGGAGTCAGATTATGCAGATGACTGTCTAACCAGCATCCAGATGGGTGTCTTTCAACAAGTCCTGTATCCGTTTCGCAGTTTTCCTAAGGTTCAGTCTCCTCGGCAGCAAAGGGAGAAAAAAACCCTACCTACTCTTCCTGGAGAAATCTGAATTGTATATGTGATGAAGGATATTCTGTATCACTTGCAATATAATTTCTCTTGGTCCCGGAGGTATGATGCATATGCATTAGTTAAACGAGATGAGCTGGTAAGATGTGCATTTTTAATGGTGCATTTGCTCTTGAGTGAGTGGGAGGGTTAGTGGGGACCCCCCCCCCCTCCACCACCATCCCCCCGGAGTTTGATCGTCACTGCAGAGTTTGACAGACACAGATCTGTCTGTAAGCGCTGAGACAAGGTGGTGTGGAAGCAGAAGAAGAAGCACCTTTGGGGTGAATCCTGCCTGCCTGGCTCGCTGGCTGACTGGCTGAGGATGAATATTGCATGGTGCCTTCTCAAGGGGGCTGGTGACTGGTGAGAGTGGGAGTCGCTCCCCCCCCCCTCACCGCAGGGCTGCTAGTTGCCGTGTCTGTCTCTTCTTGTATTCCTGGCTGTCTTATCGTATATCCGTCTCTGTCTGTTTTGGACTACAGCCGAGCTAATTCCACATATTTTGTAAACACTGTTTTCACGTGAGAACGACGTCTGTCCACAGCTCAGTCTGATAGCATTTTGGTCGAGATCTCTCGAGACCGTGTTTCTTCCTGTTTATCCAGTTTTGAGATTAAACTGACATTACTGATGACAACGCTCTGCATCACAGCCAACATCTGGACAGTGGTGAGAAAGAAAGTGTATTCGTCGAGTCTTGGATTAAACATCTGGAGAGTTTAGCTGATCATTTAGTTATTTTGATATATGCACTTTTTATTTTTGCATTGCTGTTTATAAATATCATGTTAACAAGTTTTGGTTTTATAATTGTGAACTGGTCTTCTTCTACTTTTCCACTGGTGTCCACGTCGTAGGTCATTTTCTTCTTCTTCCCTTTTTCGTCTTTGATTTTTCTGGTGTTAACTGTTAAGTCTCCACATCCACAACAAACAGACGTGCACCCACTGATTATTAACTCTGGAGTCTATTTTTGAAAACCTCTGCTGTCTAAAAAGCTGTTCACTGCAGGATAGCACGCCAGAGCAGAGTGACGAGCTTTCAACTTTAGCCTTCCTCGTACGTCTGTGCCCCGAGTTTCTCTTTCCTGGCGTCTCAGTTTCTCTCCGCGTGAGACATCACCTCTCTGCTGCCGCCGGCCTTTCTGTGGCAGCCGTCGGCACTGCTGGGCTGTCACGTCGGCCCTCTCTTCTCTGCCGCTCGTCCCCCACTGCCCCCCACCCTATCTTTATCCCGTCTTCCCTCTTCCACTCTCCATGTGTCTTGTCAGTTGTGTTTGGCAACGGTGTCATTATCGGGCAGCCCATATCACACCTCCTCCAATGAGCTGTCTGTCTGCTCCCCGTCTGTCTCTCGCTCTACTTTCCTCTCTCCTTTTCAGTCCCCCTGCTAGCTCGCGGTGGCTGTGTGTCACCTTTATACCCGAGACGTTCTGTCCCTCACCCACGTTACCCATAATGCCTTGCACAGCTGCCACTTTATCTTCATGTCCTGCAGCTTGTCCTCAAGCTGGAATAATGTGAATGATGTGAGCGTGCTGTGAGAGTTGACCAGTATGTTTTATTTTA